GAATTCTAATAGTTCAAGTTATACCGGAAATAAAAACTAGGAAATGGTGATTTTGAAATGATCATCTCTCTTCTGACCTCACTCTTCCTGCCCCTCGTCTCTCAGGTGTGTATGAGGACGGGGAGGGGGGGTCGTTCCCCTGTATCAGAGTCCAGAAGGCCTCTGACCCCCAGGGTAGCGGACAAGATGGCATCCCCAGGTCAGTGTCTGTCTCTGCGTTCTTCACCCGGTCGGGACTGTGCTGCTTGTCAGTGGCTGAGCCACTCTCTCCCCCCCTCTCCCGCAGCGTCGTCGTGAGGCTGAGCTCGCCAGAGCCGAGCTCTGGGCCGTGGGAGGCGGGTGTGGAGCACAGTCTGGAGGGGGATCTGGGCTCTGTGGAGAGCCCCTGTGAGCTGAGGCAACGAGAGAGCTCGCCTTTCTCCTCCAACAGGACCATGTTTGAGACCGAGGAGGTCAGGAACGGTTATTCTCTCTCTCTCTCTCTGGGCCTGGTTCCCCACTTCTGTCCCTGTCTGACTGAGACAAGCCTCTCTTCTCCCTCTCTCAGATGGTGATCCCAGCAGATCAAGAGGAGATGTTGGCCTTCCAGTCTCAGTGTGTCTCCCAGTCCCAGTATGTGCTGGAGGTCACCCTGCCTCTGGCCACAGTGCTCCTGCCCAGCAAGGAGGCCTACCAGAGTCTGTACAACCGGTACTGTCATAGTACATATGTATCTTGACTGCCAGAGTCTGTACAGCTGGTACTGTCACTGCTAGTACAGCTGTATCTTCACTGCCAGAGCCTGTACAGCTGGTACTGTCACTGCTAGTACAGCTGTATCTTCACTGCCAGAGCCTGTACAGCTGGTACTGTCACTGCTAGTACATCTGTATCTTCACTGCCAGAGCCTGTACAGCTGGTACTGTCACTGCTAGTACAGCTGTATCTTCACTGCCAGAGTCTGTACAGCTGGTACTGTCACTGCTAGTACAGCTGTATCTTCACTGCCAGAGCCTGTACAGCTGGTACCGTCACTGCTAGT